ATGCTATAGTCTCCACTTGTCTCGTTCTCATCAAAGTCTCCAAAGATATTCGGAACAATCCTCTTTTTATCAGTTTAAGCAAGTTTAAATGACTGAAGCCTCTTTTTTAACATCTCTAGAGAGCTTTGCGAAGGCTACTCAATCCGTATGCAGTAATATCGTCCATTTCAACAAATTTACTGCATAGACAACATTCTCATCACGATCGTGAATTGGGACAGGCCTGGTTTGGCTCAAAAGTCGCATCGCCCTACGGCTCAGTGGCATCTGAGGCTGCCTGTAGGAGGCGTGAAGTGCTAGGCTTGGTGCTTGACACGAATGCCCTTGGCTCGAATCCCATTGAGGCATAAATGGGACCCAGACGAGGCCAAAAGTAGTCCAGGCAGACTGAGAAACAACCTCGAGAGGCAAATGTAAGTATAATTTATTGGTATCATGTAGTCATATCATGATTTTATAATAAATTAGCTCTTCTTTTTGTATGAATAGTTTTAGAGACTAAGTAATTCTTAAGTAAGAACTTAAATTAATTTAAGGACCGATTATTTAGATTTACCACAATGAGATGAGTAGGTTTCACGATTTTATTGAATTTCACGAAACCTTGCATACCAAAAAAACAATCTTAGCCAGGCTGGACTGCAGTTTTGACCTTGCCACCCCGATTCTGTATCGGATCGTGAGTATTCTGACGATGTTGCCAATCCACTCATATACATGACCACGGATCGGTGGAAGTGCTGATGAAGCAAGCATGTGTTCGTAAATCCTTTTATTAGATCAGACCCATTAATAGTGGCTTTTAGCTTTTCTTACCAGATTGTTCGTATTCTATACAGGTTGTTGCTAACGCTTTGCTATACCGAACCTCACCTCCAAATAGGCTGATTCAAATAAAGTATATTCAGTTTTTAGTAGGTCTTTGAGACTACCAGTAAATCCTATTTCGTTTCAGGCGATGAAGGACTGGTAGGTGAATTTTCTCAAAATGACATTCCAACTAAACTTTACAAAGCCTTGCTTTCCCAAAAGGTATTCCCATTCAGGCTGAAGTGGACTTCAGTTTCGGTCTCGCCTAGGTCTTAACAGTATCTCCAGCGGGACTCGAACCATGAAAATGGTACCACATTGCCACGAGTACCCTTGGGTCACTGAGAAGCTGTGAATTTCAAAGAAGGCCAAGTATTTTCCCATTACGCATTGTGTGGTGGGATTGTCGATGAAGAAATACGAATCGATGACGTTGCTTATACCGCGACAGAGAGAGAGATAGAACCGCTATTTAGCAGACAATGAGTCAAATGATCGACTTAACTTGTCTCTGATGAGTTGTTGTGTGGTGCTAATAATGGCAAGGTTCATTGACGATGCTGACTTAAATACCAGCAAAACTTCTATCCAACGAAAGGAAACTGCGACCATACCAAAGGCCACGCCACCTTGGTATTCATACCTTCGACTTCCTATTTTTCATTTGAAAGTATACTTTTGAAAACACCGGTGAATCAGATATATGATTGTGATCTATATTGGAGGAAAATACCTTTTGGGAAGCAAGAAGATGTGAAATTTAATGGATAGTCCATGTCTACTCATATCATTGTGGGAAAATTCAATTACCTGTCCTTCATCGCCTTAGAAAAAATAGAGTGTAAATAAAATAATTGTTGAGCCTACTTCCATTTCGAGTGAAAGTGTTGGGTGAAGAGATTAGGAGGTTGGTTG